GGCGGCGACGGGGCCGTGAAGGGCGGCGACAGGGCCGCGAAGGGCGGCGACGGGGCCGCGGAGGGGCCGCAAGGGGCCACGAAGGGGCCGCGAGGGGCCGTAAGGGGCCGCGAAGGGCCGTGAGAGGGGCCGCGAAGGGCGGCGGAGGGGTCGCAAGGGAGCCGCGAAGGGCCGTGAGAGGGGCCGCGAGGGGCCTTAGGAGGGCGCGACGGGCCGCTAGGGGCTGGGGACGCGACAGGAGGGAGGGCACACGGGGCGCGACTCGGGCAGGAGCGAAGCGCGCTCCGGGCAGGTAAAAAAAAAAAATCGATTTTGAGTGGTGGGCCCTAGGAAACGTTCCCACTAGGGAACCTGCTCTATACCATGTGAAGATTATAAGGAATGAATGACTAAGGAATGAGTGTGATACAAAAATGAAACCCTAGAATTGTGTACCCCTTAGTATCTAACCCGCTACAGCCTATACAGGCTAGATCATATAAGTCTGACAGATATTTGCGACATTACCACGATACTTGGATTCGCCCATCTCGCCAAAGTTGGGGTGCAACTACCAGGTAATGGGCCACCGGTTGTTATGCAAGAGCGCAGAATATTCGATGAAAATCAATTCTGATCGGGCGGCGCGAGAAAAACGATCTCAAGCAATTCGATCCAATCCAACCCGATCAGATCCGAGCCGATCAAAGTAGATTGGGCCCAAGTCCTAAGAACAAATCTGAGCCGCACAAATTGTATACATGATAGTCAACCCGACGCCAGATTATCAATGGACGGTCAGTTGTGAGGTCCCACATCGAAACGCACCAAATAACCACAGAGAACGTCACGACAAAAAGCTTGACGATATGTGATTGCCTTCTACCTGATGTGACGACACGGCCCATTGACGATCCTGGATTTCCGCCTGCGACACGACAGTGGTCCTATCACGCCCTCAAACATGTGGTCCGATCAATATTTCAACCCCCTTCGTTCACTAGATCTTCTTCATTCGAAGTCGACATTTCTCTCACTTGTAGCAGGAGGGGAATTCAGTTGCTCTAGACTCTCGACTCTCGACACCCCGTCTTCCGCGATGGCTGCTAATCAGATCGCCGTCGTTGCACTCCTCCTCGGCCTCGCACTGCCCTTCGTTCTCGCGGGCAATGCCAAGGGAGTAGAAACATACTCCCAGTCGAACTACAACTACGATGCGAACGGCAACATCATCCTTTCCACCGCGGGCAACAACAACCAAAACGGCAACGGCAAAGGCACATCGGCTGACGTCATCGACTGGTACAACGACCAGGAGTATCCGACGTGTCCGCTGAAGGCGTGCCCCCCTTTCAAGCACTACTGCTCTGGCGGCATGTGCAACGACACTGCCAGAATCCTCGGCCGTTGGAGGGTGAGTGCCGGATTTAATCTAGAAGCTCTTAGACGCCGCTCATAATAAGCGCGGCTCTTTCTTGCCAAAATTCTGAACGGTCATGTTGCTACTATGCATTACGTTTGATTCGAATCTCGCCGGTTCGTCGCTCAAAACAGTTGGTTTAACGACTGTCCCGGCCAGCCTTGACCCTTATCGCTGTTCAGCCAGCTTGTCATTACTAATTATGGCCGCAGTTGCCGCATATTTGAGTTTTGACTCAGATCCGATGTTTCCCCCGTCGCCGCTTTGATCCGCGCAGCTCCCCGAGCAGTCGTCGCTCGTGTGCCCGCCGGGGCGCGCCAACCCGAAGCCTAACAACGAGTGGTGCGTCGCGGAGCTCACGCCGTCGCAGTGCTGCAAGGCGTGCTCCGAGAGCAAGGAGCCGTGCGCCATGTGGCAGCACTACATTGGGTGAGCGATCTTGCGTAAATTCCCCCCAGATACTTCGTTTCGCTTCGCAAATTTCCCCACCTGCTTCAATCACCTGCTTCGCGTAACTTCGCGTCTCTTCCTCAGATGCTTCGCTTGTCTTCGCTCTGATACCACTGTTGTAGAGGCGTCTCCTCTACTTTGCAGGAACTCTAAGTTGCACTAAACGATAGAGCACAGTCTTGGCTTTCCAACAAGCCATCAAACACGTTAATCGCCCAAGTATACGCCGAGATATTGGCGTTCACGTGATTGCTAGTGCTCTTAGAAGCAAGGATAGACCTCTCTGGAATTTTGGTTCGAATGGACCATGTACAAGAAGATTCAGGATTTCAGTATATAGCATGCATACAAGGCAGGTCGATTTATAGCAAATGCATTACATCGAACCGCACATGTAACATCACATCGCTACACTCGCGTCGCGAATGCGCCGCGTGTAACATTTCGGTTGGGGTGAAATTCGACCACCGAATTTCACACCGAACACACCGAATTCGCCTTGCACTTGAAGGTTGGAATGTGGTGCCGCCACGTGGCACCGAAGGGTGAGTCTCCCGAAGTCAATCGGTGCCACCCCACCGATCCCTAGTCAAAGGGATCGAAGGCACCGAAGTGCCCTCGGTGGGTTGGGGGCATACCACCGCCCCACCACCGTTTCCTTCCAACAGATAAGAGTTCTCAGTCTCAAGCCATAATTTTCTTTTGCTCCCTCTTTTTTTTCAATCTCATGCAGAACCGTGAATCCCTCTGGCAAGTGCCTCAAATGCGGCATCTGCTGGCTCTACCCGCCCGGCACGGCGCCGCGGTGCGAGACGCAGCTGGACAACAACAACGGTTACCGCATCAAGTACAACTGCTCGCGCATCGGCGGCAGCTGCCCATACACCAAGAACGACCCGCATTTCCAGGGCGCGCAGGGTACGCGATTCGAGTTCAACGGCGCTCCGGAGAAGACGTTCTGCCTGCTGACGGACCGCAACGTGCACGTGAACATGCAAATGCGCGGGTACTACGACACGCGCACCGTCGGCGCGACGGTCCTGCGCAACGGTAAGGCGGTGCGCACGTGGATCCGCGCGCTCGGGTTCGTGTGGCGCGCGGCGGCGGGGCAGGCGGAGCACAAGTTCCGCGTGGTGGCGCGCGCGGGGAAGCAGCAGGAGCGCGGGGACGGGTTTCTTTCGCTGGCGGAAATGGACGGGGAAGCCCTTTCGCGGATGACCCAGCCAGGCGAGGCGCTCTCTCTCCCCGGAGGCCTCACGTTCACGTTCGTCGGGATTGAATCCGGCGGCGCGTTCGTTAAGGACGTGTACCGTGTGACTATCGCGGGTCTTCTAGAGATGGAGATCAAGCTGCGCGTCGCGCACCCTCTGTTGCAAACACCTGAGGACGCGGAGACGCACATCAACGTGGCGTTCGACGCCGTCGAAGCGACCAATCAGGTGCACGGAATCATGGGGCAGACGTACCGCGAGGGGCGCGCGAAACGCGCCATGGATTACAACACGCTCGCGCACGCGCTGGGGCGGCCCGTCGCGGCGGATGCGGCGGAGGGAGCGGGGTTCCTGGATGGGGAGACGGCGGATTACGAGTCTACTTTGGTGCTCGCTGCGGACTGCCGCTTCTCCGCGTTCCACGGCAAGGCGCTTCCGCTTCCCCGCACTCAGTAGAGTCGCCCCGGACGGTCGCGGTCAGGCTGGCTTGATTGTCCCCAAGTCAATTCGTGGTGTTGTACCCTACATTAGCTGCTCCGATTCTCTTCCGGTGTACTTTGCCAAAGGGCCAAATCTCCGTGGCTCAATAATGCCCAATCGTTTGGGAGGAGTCTCCCCTGTGTGGGTTGTATTGTTGTGATGGTGGGCTGTGCGTGTCAGTTTGTACTCTCCTTGATGGGTCTCGGGTTTCAGAATGGGCTATCTACCGTATTCCTTCATTCTTTATTCTTGGTGGGCTGCTTGTTGATCCAATTCTTGGTGACCTGCTTGTTTGGTCCATTACGGTATTCAATGCCTTCAGATACACACATATACCTCTGCCAAAAAATCTGGACACTACCGTACGTTTTACCTGTCGGAGCTGGGTGGCTCAATTTATCTTGATGAGTTTGCTCTTCATGGAAGTGTACACATCTTATAAGATTCCCTTCACCTTTTGATGACAAAATAACAGTATTTACCGGTAGGTAATCTACAATGTCAACAATATATAAAGTTCAGTAATTAGCCCTATAAATCAAATGCCAGTGTTCTGAGAAACGGCATACATGCCTCACATTGAAAACTGTATACCAGAAGCTGTAAATTATACCCGCTAACTTATTACCATAACTACCCATACCATACTACCAGCAACTTCATACCATACCCAGACTACAGCGATACTCAAAACTAGGACCTCACTTTATTGCTGCAACATCTAAGCCCAGTGGCTGACCCCCCACACCCCATCCCCGAGCAACGCATCCCACGAGACAAGTGACAAGTCCATAACTGTGTCGCCTATAACATGATCCATTATAAGCAGATGGAAGATTCGCCCCATCCAGCAGGCAAGCAGCCCTCCGCACCTCCTCACCAAGGTTCAGGACTGCAGCCCACCAGGAGTGCTTCAGATCAAATCAGAGCCTGACACAGGAGTGCTTCAGATCAGATCAGAGCCTGACTCAGAATTGGAAAGCTTACCTCGTTTCTCATTCTCCCCATCAAGTCCCCCCTTCCCTCCTCCTTGCGCACCACCCCCCCCATTCAACCCTTAAATCGACTTGTCAAATCTGACATTCTCCCTGTTGGCAAATGCTATTTCTCACACTGCTAAGCGCGCTTCTCCTCCCGGCAAAGGAAAACAGTGCCTCCAGGCTCCTCTCTTTTGAGTCGACTCAAAAGTCTTCTCCTCCCGGCAAAGGGAAACAGTGCCTCCAGGCTCCTCCTCTCCCGTTGCATCACTCCCTTTCACTGAAGGCCTTCCGGGCAAAGATTGAAATGCAAAAACAACTCCCTGCCCGTCAGAAGTGTTTCTCCACAAAGGCAAACAGCGCCTCCAGGTTCCTCCTCCCCCTGTGTGTTGCAACGGGCCTCTCTCCGTTGAACAGCATGAGCGTGGGGAAGCCTGGGATCTTGTACTTGTCCGTCAACTCAGGGTATCTGTATGCATCCACTCAAGCAACCTGGTGATTGAGGGCGGAAAGGGGTGGATTGATTTGTGAGTCTAGGTGCCAAGCAATCACTCTCTCCGTTGAACAGCATGAGCGTGGGGAAGCCTGGGATCTTGTACTTGTCCGTCAACTCAGGGTATCTGTATGCATCCACTCGAGCAACCTGGTGATTGAGGGCGGAAAGGGGTGGATTGATTTGTGAGTCTAGGTGCCAAGCAATCACTCTCTCCGTTGAACAGCATGAGCGTGGGGAAGCCTGGGATCTTGTACTTGTCCGTCAACTCAGGGTATCTGTATGCATCCACTCGAGCAACCTGGTGATTGAGGGCGGAAAGGGGTGGATTGATTTGTGAATCTAGGTGCCAAGCAATCACTCTCTCCGTTGAACAGCATGAGCGTGGGGAAGCCTGGAATCTTGTACTTGTCCGTTAACTCAGGGTATCTGTATGCATCCACTCGAGCAAGCATGCATCCTATTCGAGCCATACCCCATTTTCCACCTGGCCATACCACCAGAGACGCCCATGTCCCCTGTCTAAACTGCAGCCTGCACAGCAGCATGCACAGCAGCCTGCACAGCAGCATGCACAGCAGCCTGCACAGCAGCCTGCACAGCAGCATGCACAGCAGCCTGCACAGCAGCCTGCACAGCAGCCTGCACAGCAACGCATACCTTGTACCCTCAGTCGCTGCACCACTCCTCATAACATCCCTTGCGCACCCCACCCCCTCCCCCCCTCTCTCCCCCCCCCCCCCCCACCCTCCCCCCCTTCTTCTCTCCCTCTCCCCTCCCACCTGCACGTTGAAGCTCTCCTGGTGCAGCTTCTCCGCTATAGCCGCCCATGCCGCCAGCAGCATGCAGCCTACCACGCGCACGCCACCTGCACCGAGCCATACCACTCCCAACCCCCTCACCTGCACGTTGAAGCTCTCCTGATGAAGCTTCTCCGCCAGAGCCGCCCATGCGGCCTCCATGCGCTGGCAGTAGGGGCACCAGGGCGCGTAGAACATGACCAGGGTGGGCCTGGGGACGGGAGAAACGCAGGACGGAGGGAAGAAGAAGGGAAGGAAGGGTGAAAGGGAGTGGGAAGGGAGTGCAGGCACAGGAACAGCAGCACTGAGCGAGCGCCCATGCGCTGGCGGTAGGGGCAGCAGGGCGCGTAGAACATGGCGAGCGTGGGCCTGGCGAGGGGAGACGCATGGGAGGGAGTGTAAAGGGAGAGAGGGAAGGCACAGAGACCACCGCACTGAGTGATCATGCCACCCTGCGGCCTCCATGCGCTGGCGGTAGGGGCAGCAGGGCGCGTAGAACATGGCGAGCGTGGGCCTGGCGAGGGGAGACGCATGGGAGGGAGTGTAAAGGGAGAGAGGGAAGGCACAGAGACCACCGCACTGAGTGATCATGCCACCCTGCGGCCTCCATGCGCTGGCCGTAGGGGCAGCAGGGCGCGTAGAACATGACGAGCGTGGGCCTGGCGAGGGGAGACGCATGGGAGGGAGTGTAAAGGGAGAGAGGGAAGGCACAGAGACCACCGCACTGAGTGATCATGCCACCCTGCGGCCTCCATGCGCTGGCGGTAGGGGCAGCAGGGCGCGTAGAACATGACGAGCGTGGGCCTGGCGAGGGGAGACGCATGGGAGGGAGTGTAAAGGGAGAGAGGGAAGGCACAGAGACCACCGCACTGAGTGATCATGCCACCCTGCGGCCTCCATGCGCTGGCGGTAGGGGCAGCAGGGCGCGTAGAACATGACGAGGGTGGGCCTGGCGAGGGGAGACTGCACAGGAGGGAGGGGAAGAGGAAGTGGAGATACGCAAAAGGGCTGTGCTCCCATGCCACGTGATGGAAGTAGTGTTTTGAGACGTCTCAAAACACTACTTCTATCACGTGCTCCCATGCCATCATGCAGCCTCCATGCGCTGACAGTAGCGGCACTCGGGGGCTGGAGCACGATCAAATTGGGCATAGGGTGTGACGCCTGACACCAAGAAAGAACACCTGAGAGCACCTGAGAACACCTGAGAGCATCTGAAAACACCTGAAAGGTCTGGAGAGCACCCACGTATACCTGGACGCGAATCGACTCGATCCAAAAGCACTTGAGAGTTACTCTGTGTTGCCTGGGAGCACCTGAGAGCACCTGAGGTCACCCTCAGATCACCCTGAGATCACCTGAGAGCACCTGAAATCACCTGATATCACCTGAGAATACCTGGAATCATCTAAGAGCTCACCTGAGATCATCTGAAAGCTCACCTGAGCCGCAGCACGTGGGGCAGAGTGGCTGCAGACAGTTCGATCACTCCTGGCTTCGCCTCCCTCCTGGTCGACGCAAAGTACAGAATGGCACAACAACACAAACCAAATGCGGGACTTGGAGATTGAGCAAACAACTTGGAACGAACAATGGGGAGAGAAGACACCTAAACAATGAAGCACACCAGGGACCGTGAAAGACGGCGCCCACTCATGTAAAAACCAGCAGCAACGTCTTTCAACACTTACAGGTAGAAAGGAACCTTCTTTCCGGTTTCTCCGACCCCCACCATTTGCTCCTCCCCTAACACTATCACTGGCGCCGCGGCCGCATCGCCGCCTGCCAGAAGATCCCCGCTAAGAACCGACCCGCTAGCAGCAGCAGCTTCGTTAAGAACAACCCCGCTAACAGCCCTCCCGCCAGGGGCTACAACGGCGGACATATTCCGTCCCAGTCCGAGCCTCCCGCCAGTCGCGCTGGTGACAAGAGCCATGGCAAAGCCAATAGCCGCAGCGCCAATCCCAAGCCCCAAGATCCATTCCTCCCACGACCACGTCAACCTAAGCGCCGTCATTCGCGGAGGCAGCAATCCCCCTAAAGTCGCGTCGCGTCCCACCCTACTCGATCCTGACAACTCGGCGCTTTTCCCAATAGCGTTTTCTTCCGGCGATCCTGGCAATCCTGGCGACCCGGCACCATCTCTAGAAACGACGTTCGCTTCAGCCGATGGATTATTAGAAGCTGGGATGAGTGAAAGGGAGGCTGTGGGGGAGCCAGAGTGACTATTTTGTGGTGCTAGGGTTTCGGAAAGGATGCGGAGCGCGTCGGGGTTGTATCTCGAACCCTCGGCAGCTGCTGCTCCTGCTGGGGCTGCGTCGCTTGCGACAGGAGAATGGCGAATGGCGAAATGAGCTGGGGTGGACTCGCGAGCTCTAATCATGGCAAAACTTTCGGCATTTGTTCCTGCTGCTGGTGCTCCTGCTAGGGTTCCTCCAGCTGCTGCAGTTCCTACCTGCGCGGCTGCGATTGCTTTCTGCGCTGCTGCGGTCGGATACCGAAAATAAGGTCGCTCTTGATCGTCGAGTCCTGGGAGCTCCTCATCCGCCAGCGCTGGCTGCGCTCCTGAGAACGCGTTTGGCATCCACACCAACGAGTTCTGCGATCAGGTGCAACCAAGGACGATTATGTATTTAAGAGGCCGAGAAAAAAAAAGGGCTATTCTGTGAAAACATGTATTACGCCTCGAGACGTCAATATGAATAATGTCGAGGCTATACGGGGAACATAAACTCAAGGAAGGACCTTCAACTACAGCTTGCGACGTAAGGACGAAAGCGTCCGAGTTCTCGCGTCGTAACTTCGCGAAATGCGCAGCTCGAGGATAAACGAACGAACCTGATTGTCCACCTCGGCACCGTTGGGCCAAACTCGCCTTCGCGAATCAGCCGCGAACATACCGCTCCATTCCTCAGGGTTCTCGCCTCTAACATTTCCCGAGCCTCCACGAACCGCGTTTTTAGTGGCCAGCAACGCGTGACCTAGATGAGTAAATGCACCCGGCCCTACTTGCCTACTCGGAAGAGGAGCTAAGCTCCTCATCATAAAAAACAACCAATCACGCGAACGCTTGGAGTGGGAAGGAGTGATCGAGGAGAACAGAGTCGAGAAAACCTAATAAGGAAAGCAAAAAACGGGAATGAAGAAACACGGAGAACCCCGCTGAATAATGAGAAACTGGAGACGCGGCAAGCCCTAGAGTCACTTGCACAAGAAGCCTTATGATAAAGGCAATTTTTCCTATTGCCTACTGAATAACATGTAGCAGTTCACACATAACCCTTATGAGTCGATCAGGAATGTACACTAGTGGCTCTGCCACCAAAACTGTGTGGGACGAACGACCTTATGAGATGCCCGAAAACAGAGCCCCAGACAAAACCAGCACAGTTTTCGAGACCAGCTCCTTATCCCTGATTGGTTGTAAACACGCCGCGAGCTGTGCTGGCGTGGATATCGGTGAAGGACCAGAAGTGTGAGGTTCCAACAAATCAGGAGATCTCCGTTATTTGCAAGTCACGTTTCAGCTGAAAACCAAAATAGAGTACAGTTGACATAGCCTTTTCCGTATTCCGCTATAGCTAGTACCTAAAAGAACTGCCGGAAGTACCTCGCACACAGGCAACGATTAAGGGATTGGTGGGGATTTGGAAGGATGAGCTGTCAGATGGGGCCCAGTTCACCACGACATATCAGCAGCTGACGTCTGGCTTTCTGTACAAGAAGTATTATGGTCGCATGCAAGTTACTTTTGATAAGGCATCTGATGCTAACTTTGTGTGGCGTAATCAGGTTGAGCATAAGTGCAAGAATGGTACTTACGTTACCTTTGACTGGCAATATCCGGAAGATCCCGCTTTCGCCAGGCAGAAGGCGACGAACCCGGCGGTGATTGAGTTATACTTCAAGGAGGTCCCTGCCGAGATTTCACCTGCGATGCTGCATGGGATGCTGATGGCTCCGCTCAAGAAGAAAAAGAAGTCGGTGTTTAAGGAGGGTCTTTGTTTTCATCGTGCGGTCAACTCGGTAACCGGCCTGGATACGGATCGGGTCAAGGGACTGGTGGTTGCTCACGAGGGAGATTTATACCGGTGGAAGCACTACATTGAAAATCCGCTCAACAAGGACGAGATTCTGCTGATTCATTACCCGGCGTTGAAGTGCAGCCTGTGCGGACGACACCACTCGATCCACAACCACATTGATTTCGTCGTCGAGCGTCAGAACAACATCACCAAATGGCACCTTACCGTTGGGAGGGTCCATGAGCTGAATGGTAGCTGTGCCGTTTGCGTTGTCGCTGCTGGAGATTCTTTCTTCTCGCTGTCGTTTTCAACTTACGTCTTTTCCCGAGTTCTCACACCGTTGCTCCGCAGCTGCTGCGACCACTGCATCAGATACGACCAAGATCATTCTCAAGGACCCGTCCCTGGTGCTAATTTCCACCAACGGCAATCGGGAGGAGTGGGTTTGTCTTCAGGACAGCTGCGAGAAAGCACACGGTTCGTCGTTCGAGCAGGCTGCGCATCATGCGCTGTCCCAGCGGCATCGCCATGGGGCCCCGAAAGGGGGGGAGTCGCTCCGTTTGCTGAAGGGGAAGATCAACCTCAAGAACCTGAAGAAGGACTATGGGGTGTAGAGGGGAAAAGGAGGGGAAGTGGCTGCATGTTAGGGTCGCTCGGGTCTGTATTTGCCTTATATAAGCCTGTTGCCTGTGTCTCACTCAGCCCGTGGATGCTTGGGGCTTCTCAGCGGTTTCCCAATGAATAAAGCCTCTTACCTGACAATACGCGAGCTCAACGTCAACGGGCTCGGGAGCAGAGGGAAGCAGAAACATCTGAAGGCATGGTTATGAGAAGAAACAAGGAATGAATGAACTATGAATGAATTGGGTACAAGTACTAACCCTAATTGGGTTGTACCCCTTATGGACTACCCCACTATAGCCTACACAATATGCATGAGCTATAATGTTCTGACACACCCCCATAGGCAAAGTGGGGGAGAACAAGGGGTCACAAGACCAGTCAAGCAAAGCAAAGCAAAGCAAGCTCAGGGTGGATCACAAAGTCACCACACATTACGAGCACAAGTTCAAGGCCACAAGGCCAGTTCACATGCAGGAGTACATATGTATAAAAAAAGGCTAGACAAGCAAGAGCAGGTATATATATATGTAACAGTACAAGCAAGGTCAAGAGGTGAGCAAGTGAGGCAAGGTAGGCACAAGGCCCAGCTGAGTACAGAAGTGCTGATGGTCACAAGGCGCAAGCGCCTTGGTGAAGATATCAGCAGTGTTGACCTCAGAGGCCACGTACGCAAGACGCAGCTGACCACGCTGCTGCAGCTCACGAGCAAGAAAGTAGCGGAGAGCAATGTGCTTCGTTCTGTGCTCCAGTCGCTGCTCCCGACACAAGGCCAGCATGGCCTTGTTGTCTACGTACAGCACTGGAGGAGAACGAGGCAACTCTCCGAGGTCAGTCAGCAGGTAGGTGAGCCAGCGAAGCTCCTGTGCAGCCATGGCTCCTGCGTAGATCTCAGCCTCACAACTGGAGCCGAGAACAGAAGACGAGCGAGTAGCCCGCCACGAAACAGAGCCGGAACCAAGGCTGAAGGTGTAACCCTGTGACGACCGCTGCGTAGCCTGGTCGTCAGCCCAAGAAGCGTCTGCGTGCCCAGTAAGGACCACTGGACTCTGCCCTCCAAGCACCAGCCCCATGCCCGACGTACTGCACAAGTAGCGCAACACCCTCTTCGCTGCAGCCATGTGCTCCGGTCTGTGTCTCCCAGGAGCAACATAGCGTGCAAGAATGCTAAGAGGGTATGCAAGGTCAGGTCGTGTGCAGGTCATCAGGTACATGAGGCAGCCAACAAGCTCTGGGTACGGGCCACTCGACTCTACGGACTCATCCGAAGGCAGAGCTGAGAGCGAGTGGCGAGTAGGCAGAGGAGTGGCCTGAGGCGAGGAGTACGTGAAGCCGAAGCGCTGAAGGACCTGCTGCACCATGTGTGACTGAGTCAGGGTAATGGTGCGGCGTGCTCTGTCCCGAGTGATCTGCAAGCCAAGGTAGCTGCGCAGTTCACCCAGGTCAGTGCACGTGTGTCTCTTCTGCAGCTCGGACTTCACGTGGGCTAGTCCTGCAGTGTCAGCTGTGGCAAAGACCAAGTCGTCGACGTACACGAGGATGTAGAACGGCGGCAAAGAAGTGTCGGTGCGCAGAAACAGCGACGGGTCGGCAGTAGAGGGAGCAAACCCAAGAGCCGCAAGTGTAGTCCTCAGTGTGTCGTGCCACTCACGCGGTGCCTGGCGGAGACCGTAGACTGGCCGCCGTAGGCTCCACTGGGTGCCAGGAGGAAAAGACCCAGTGAAGCCAGGTGGGCGACGCAGCCAGATCTCCTCGTGCAGGCTGCCCTGCAAGAAAGCAGTGCTGAAGTCAAGAGAGTGTAGCTCGTAGTCACGGTGAGCAGCTACGTGCAGCAGTACCCGAAGAGTGGTCATCTTCGGGGTGGGAGAGAAGGTCTGAAAGTAGTCAACTCCCTGCCGCTGACTGAAGCCACGAGCCACGTAACGCGCCTTGAAGACAGGCGGAGAACCCGGCGGTCGCTTCACCCTGAAAATCCACATGCCACTGACGATGTTCGCCCCAGGAGGGGGAACAGCGTCAACGTAGGTGCCTGTGGACTTCCAGGAAGCCATCTCTGCGTCCATAGCTGCCTGCCACTGAGAGGAGTAGGGACCCTCTATCGCCTCCGCGTAAGAGCGCGGAGTCGGGATGTCAAGTGCATCCGGGTCTCCCTCAGGGGTAAGCAGTACGGACACGAGATGAGGTGAAGCAGCGGCCAAGCACTGGAACTCCTCCTGCCTGTCCTCAAGGACGTCCGTGC